ATCGATACGCAACATCAATACTCCACATTAATTCATAGAGCATGCTGCAATGGCAGCTGTCAAAAGTCTGAACGTCTGTAGCCGCGTTTTATTTACTGACCAGAATCAATACCTTCATATGAGTTCGGATCGTGAATATCGGCTCCAGTTTGCTTTCAGACTTGTTGTGTCTGCCTGAGGGTTAGCTTTGGCCTAAATGTTGAGTTGGCTTTACGACCTTACAAAAAGTTGGTGTTAGACACCTGCGGAGAGGAAAATAAAATTTGGTTTGCTAACATACATTATTGAAGAAAAGGTTTTCTATGAAAGGGAGGTGGGGGGGGAAAAAGAAGGAAGATGAAATTCATGTGGTATAAACAAACCGAACACAGCAGTAATCACTGCAGTCTCACAACTGACAGATCAGGATGCTCCTGCAGGCTTTCTGACAGCAACATGATGCTTTTTAGCTTTAATACGAAAGATGAGATTTATTCTTCCAGTCAGATGATGCTTAATCTAGTCAGCGAGGCTTTCAGGAATGCACCAGGCACGTCGGCTGTTTGAAGTCAGATTTCAGTCCTTTGATATTCTGTCCTGTGTCAGTTAAGAGTTTACAAGATTACTAAAGGGGATGGTTCAAGTTCTTCATGACAAAGACGGCGGCTGCTGTTGTTCCTCTGTATCGGGGATGTTTCTGGTAACTCGTTTCCTAGTTGAGTAAAAATCTGACTAATCCACTGCTGTGAGTGTATGAAAACAGCCACAAGTGAGCACAATTCTAATCTTACACATTGTCTGTAAACATATTTGCGCTATATGAAAGAATCAGTCTAGCATACGTATGTTGAAAGCCCCTGATATTTGTGGTGTAGCCAGGCACGGCTGTACGATCGTATTTGTTTGTACCGCCAGTTTAATGATTCATCACTGATATATCATTAAACTGATGGTTCATAATGGCCCCGTTAGAACCAACAGTTAAGTGGTGTTTTGTTCCAACCAGAGACTTTATAAAACATGGACATTACACGGTAGTTTTGGCCTCCACCAACACTTCGAGCCTTAACATTAGTAAGATAAACTGAATGAAATGCAACAACGGCGCAAACATGGTAGAGAGCTCTAGTTCAAAGACGTGAGTTAGTTGAGGTGAGGCCTGTCAGACCCATTCAGCTGCCTCTGCAACTCAAACCTATCAAAGGAGCCCATGTGTTTTTTGGAGCAAGCCTGAAGTAGGCGAACTGCAACTTTTGGCGGATCATCTTAAGATTAATTATTTATTTATTTCTTAAGCACCGCAGATTGCTCCCTTGATGACTGCTAGTTAGGGCAGCAATGGTTAATTGTTCAGTTCTGGCAGATGTGATAACACCCAACAGGCTACTGATACAAGACCTTTACCCTTAGCAGCTGCAGGCATGTTCAGATTTCACACAAAGGCAGTCGTTTGCAGGCGAGAGCGCTGCAACTTTAACTGGTTACAGTTGCTAAGTTTTGCCTTAAAAACCTTAAATGAACATTTTTTTAGCTGCTTTTTTTTTTAAAGCTCAGTCACATTAAACTCCAGTGTCAGCAGCTGCTTCACAAGAAGGGCTGCACCACATAAGTTCAACGCTTTTAAAGGGAAACGGCCGTTAACACAGGTTTAATAAGATGTAAGATATATTAACCGGACCTCCGGCAGTGTCTGTTGCCTTCATGCACCTTTGACACACTGCAGAGCTGTAGTTTCTTTTTTTTTTCACCCTGAACCTGTCAGTCCATAATTCACCTTTGATGTCAGTAAAGCATTTCCACACTGCCCGTCTGTTTTATTCATTTATTTATCTATTTTGTACAGCAGAACAGAGATGCAGCATTTGCCAGGAAGATAAGGCGAGGCAGTAGCGGGCCTTGGCATTTCCAGCATGACCTAGATTGTAAATTGAATCTCTTCTAGCTGTGATAACCCGAGGAGAGTGAAATCTGAACATGAAGTTAGCCTTTCGCAGCTGCACTGAAGCCGTTTCCTGTTTTTAAGCGTGCAAAGGTCTGCTCCTGTTGACCTGTGCTATGAATTTACTCTTGATTTCATCCGTTCTTTCTGCTGTGGTCCTGTGACGCTACAGTGCTTTCTGCAAAGGCCACTGGGGAAGCTGCATTATAGATGAGCCACTTGACTCTGTAGTTGTCAAACTGCAGATCAACCCCGCTGCTATGCTGGCTCTGTTTTCAGACAGAAAGCTACACAAGTATGAGTTTTGAATTCATTTTCTAGGGGTGCCAGTGAAGCGATGATCTGAAATTATGCAGTTCACATCATAGAAAATGCATAAAAGGTTACCAAAGGTCAGAGTGGTTCTCTGCAACCTTTTCTTATGTCATTTTGTCGATGCACAAAAATAAATTCTTCAGTTTCTTTTGCTATTAGATCTCTGAAAAATCTTTGCTGTCTGGCTCTTGCTCTGGGTGTGGTGCTGGAGTAAAGGGCACAAGTCAGGAAACAGTGTTTTTTCTATAAATGGCATGATTTTCACTACTGACCTTGTGAGGTCTTGCTACGAGTTAAGTGTAAATACAAGGAGGAATCATTTTCTGCTGCTCACTTAACTTGGACTGATCCATTTACATATGGCTGTTTTGACATGCCCTCTTTCTGTCTCTTTCTCCTGTGTTTTTTTTTTTTCTTCTTTTTTCCTTCGCCCACACTAAGTGGCTAAAAGCCAAGGTAAGTCTGCTTTGTCACATGACCCATTTTGCTCAGATGTATTATTGATAGATTTGTTCAACTCCCTTCCACGGCAGACTCGTCCTCGTGTGATTACTGTCATCGTCTCCCATGTTACTTCACATTAACTGACCTGTAGTCCTCCCACAGATGAGCGTAGTCTTTGTCACACTTCCTTGTCTGTTTACCAACCATGTATGTGTTGTTATTTACTTTCATGTTGTGTACTCGTCCCTTAATGTCATGTAGTTTGTTTAACGCTTACGGGTTTCCCAGATAACTGCTGTTGCTCCAAAATTCCATCAGAGTGTAAACTGCACACCCTGGGGGAGGGATTACATCTCCCCTCAAATATTACGCTGTGTCATCTGGGCAGCCTGTAAGAGTAGATTGTTATCACATTAGTAATATTCACCCACTGTGACTGGAGGAATGTGTGCATAAAACAAGCTTCTTCTGGGGTTTCTTTCCAACCACAGCAACATGGAAACAATCAGTCGATCAGAGGAGGAACACTATCGAGGACCAATCCGCCGACGCAAAAGCCGCCCAGTCCGCCGATGTCCGGGCGTGGCACGCTTGGGTAAGATTTCCATCAGAGTCACCAGAAAAGGAAACCCAGTCCTTTAATTATGAATAATTTAAGCACGTCACTTGTCTTTATTTTTTGCTTTATAAGTCCAAGAGATAAAAACACTGGGCACATTTGCTGAGGAGTGAACTTGATGGATCAGTGGTCACTTTTGCTGGAAAAGAAGCTGATAAGTGGCAGGATCCAGAAAAAGAAACATGCAGGGTTGTTGTAGTGCGTCCTGCCCCGGTGCACAAACACAGTCACAGACGCTGATCAGATATTAATTCCAGGGATAAACAGCGATGTTTAGCGCGCCTCATCCAGCTGGGCAAACTGATAGTGGACAGCACTTAGTGGACACACCCATAACGTTCAGCTTTACACTCAGTGATGATCATTCTTTTCTTTGATTTTACCATAATTTGTTTATCGCTTTTCATTTTTGGGCCACTCCAGACGCAACACGCCCTACAAGACCCTGGAGCCAGTGAAGCCGCCCACAGTTCCCAATGACTACATGACCAGCCCCGCCCGACTAGGCAGCCAGCACGGACAGCAGCAGAGCCCCGGGCGCACGGCGTCGCTCAGCCAGAGGCAACGCACGCACAGGTAGATGAGGAAAGAGGGAAAAATCAGTGCACGCAGCTATGCAGATACAGGAGCTTCTGTTGCTTTTCTGTATATATTACTGTAACCAGACCATCCTCTGGAAGTATTTCACATTATTAGACTGATTTAAATTCATGCTGCACATTAAATGACACGCCAGCTCGTCTCCTTTGACACTGGAAGCAATGTGAGGATCGTTTGACCCTGTCCTGTAACAACAACAACAACAACAACAACAACAACAACAACAACAACAACAGCACTGGCAAAAAAGTCAGAAGATAAGATTTGGCAAAGTAAGGATTTGGAATTAAGTTTTAGGATCTAGGATACCATCCACAACCCGTTCAACCCCGCAGTAACTGTGATTGATAGATAACAATACATTTTAGTTAACTCCTCCCGATGTTATAGCTGTCTTCATCTCAGTATGTTTTTGAACTATTAGTGTTGATAGGTAGCCAGACATGCTGGGAATGTTGAGGTAAAAGTTGAGATTTTATATAAAAGTTGTACATGTATACTGTGATGTCACCCAGCAATTTTCTGAATTTGTTTTGAAGTCATGAGCAAACAAATTTCAATCCATCCAGCCATGTTGGAAGTTTTTCCCAGCTGTCACAGGGAGACGGGCGGTGCACACCCTGGACAGTCTGCTGGTCTATTGCAGACTCAGAATATTTTAATGATAAATTAAAGGCTAAACATAACAAGTTAGGTTAGCAAGCCGTTTCCATAAACTGTGCAGTGATGCAGATACCTACTAATTCCAACTAAGTAACACACAAATAAACAACTACACTTTGACACTGAAGAAAAACTCAGGACAAACTATTTAAGGACTTGTAGTACAATTAACCACATATAAAATTCCAATACGGACGTAAAAAGGCTGAAGCAGTTAAAAGAAGTGTGGTAGTAGCACGTGAGAGGAATACGATCCGAATATATGACCAAAAACCGACCAAATATTGACGCTAGAAGAGGATAAGAGAGTCACAGAAAAATACTTTCATGCAGAGTGCAGTTTAAAATCTGCAATGCTAATCAGCAGCTTTTTATGAACAGTGCAACAGGCATGTAACACTTTTTTTTCGAAAATTTTGAGAGGTTGAAGTGGAATTGGGTGTTCCAGCTACACCGCTAAAACTGCTCACTGAATATAAACCTAGGGTTTGAGTAATGTGTGTAAAGCATCTATCCAAAAACACCGGTCCCCTCTATGTCGGCTAGTTCTAATCTCTTCATTCAGTTCAGCGGCTTAGAGCACTTTCACACCTCTTCCTCTCCACTACACTAAATCCAGCATTTGTCTGACAAGGATTGGAGGGCTTCTGAATCACTCTGATATTAATATCTGTAAAAGCCTTTGAAATAAAGTGCTGTTAAAAAAAGAAAAAGAAAAAAAGTCCGCCACAGCGTGGAACCCCTTGAACATTACTCTCAAGGATTGTTCCCCAGAAATCTCCAGGAGCTTTCATCAAATTTGAGTTACGAGGGAGTGAAGTCTCCTCATTAGCTAAAAAGCCTGTAATGCTGGCTGTGATGCTCGTAAATATTACGTATTTATGAGCAAATGTTATTTTATTTATTTTTAAACCCTCTTTCTCCAACTTCCCTTTTAGTTTCATGCTTGTTGCTTCTTTCCTACAGCTGTTCTGCCTCATCTGTTAAAACGTATTTGAATGTGCACAGTTTTAGGTTCTTTGGCCTCACCGTTGCCGATCTGCTCTGATGTCCCCTTAACAAACTGAATGCTGTCCTCAGAGTCCCAAACTCCCTGCTGCAGCTAATATCGCTGTGGCATCACTATTTGATTACACTGCCAGGAAGTAAGCTGTGCTTGTTCAGCTCAACAGTCTCTGTCATCTTCAGCTGAGGTCTGAATTCAATATAGGCTCCCGTGTTCTGCTACACGTTCCCTGCTATTATCTAATATCTTTGTGTAGGAGCAATTACACTCTTGCGTGCAGGGAACGTTTTATTTTAGGAGCCGTGCTAATTTTAGTCACCGCAGAATGCTTGGAGTAAAAATTTGCTCTAATCTAGCATTACAGGTTTGGATATCTGGGCAGAGTCTGTATGTTAAAGATGGTGTTTGGCTTTGTGGACACAGCATGTACCAAAACACAAATGTTAAACATAGTTCCTAGAAGTTGATAGTTCTGCAGAACTATCAACTTCTTCTTTAACTGCTATACCCATATTCTTTATGTCATTATAAAGCAATTCAAAAGTGCAAATGGATGGTTTGCTTTCTGTTACATGGTACCCTAAAAGAACACCCCAAAAAATGTTTGCTGTGCAAATCATACAAAACATTTTGTGCCATGTGAAGGACTTGATTTGAAATCAGCTGTTCTTATGGTTAGATTATGGTTCCATACACAGATGCATAAAACGAGTCACAAATGCACAACTGTGGAAGTACAGATTAAAGGCTTTATAAATTTATTGCTGTTTAAACTCACTATCAGGTCAAGTTTGGTGTTGCTTCTGCAACTTTACAAGTGGGAAGTCCGACCGTTCTGGTGTTGTGCCAAAAAATAATTGCTGGTATTTAAACTGTTAGGCTGTCAAACATATCTGTCAAAAATGATGTCAAGTCGTTTTGAACCAGGAAAAAAACCCTTTCCATCAGAGAGACACTGCAATCAGCTTTTGGAAAAGTGAGTTTACATATCTGTATTTATTCTTTATATCCCATATGTATAGGATATATCCTATATCATATCCAGATCTGGCTGAGCTGGGGAAGCAGAAATAGCAGCAAATATGACATCACAGGTCTGAAATTGGGCAGGGATAGCTCAGTAGGTATAGTGGTGGCCCCATGATCGGAAGGTCGGGGGTTCGAATCCACTGAACAGCGACCCTGAGGTACTCCTGAGCAAGGTACCGTCCCTACACACTGCTGCCCACTGCTTCACTGAGTGAATGGGTTAAATGAGTAGAGGGGGATCAATCAAGTATACATTAGAAAGATATTTTTAATTGACCAAAAGGACAGGATTGGATGTAATGCAACAACAAACTTTATTTATATAGCACATTTAAAACCAGTGGAATACCAAAGTGCTTAACATACGAGAGGGTCAAACGTAAGTAGTAGAGAAAGATGATGGCCATGGCAAAGTACCAAACATGCTAGCAGGTTGATGGCACTAAAAACACAGAGACAAAAGAAATGCATATAAAAGCGTAATAGAACAATATGTGTAAAAGATAAGAGAGTCAAGAAAATTTTAAAATAATTAAAAGTAGTTAAAAACAGAACGAAAGTAGCAACAAACATTAAACTAACTAACAAACAAGCATTAACTGGTATAAAAGGCGACGTTAAATAAATAGGTTTTTAACCACGATTTGAAAAATTGAAACTGGGAAGATGATCTTAGATTTTACACCCCTGCTAGAGCACTAAGTAGTTCAGTGAGGTAACTTGGCACTATATTGTTAATAATTCTAAAGGTGAGCAGCATGATTTTGAATTGAATACGATACTTAACGGGGAGCAGGGGAGCAGGACAGGGGTAATAGAAACACGCCGCCCAGTACCAGTAAGAAAACCAGCCGCCGCATTCTGAACAATTTGCAGTGTATGGAGAAGAGTAGAGTTAAGACCAAAGTAAAGGGAGTTGCAATAGGTACAGACGTCCTTGTGCGGGACATAATGTCTGGCCTTGCAAATAAGACGCAATTGATGAAAGCAAGATTTCAGAGTCATAAGGTCCTGGCAGAACAGGTAATTTCCTTATTTCATACATAACCCCTTTGCAAATCCTGTTAACTGCAGTCTTCATCAATATAACCAAAGAGATTAGATATAAACAAAAAAAATACTTTTTGGCTCAACACTGGCTTGAAATTCCAGTTAGGATCTTGGGATTCCTGACTTCCCACTTCAAGTGAAACGTCAAAGCTGCCTATTTACAGTGAGTATGGATAAATACCAGACGACTACCTTTAAATATCAGTGTCACAGATGGCTTTAAAAGAGAGAAGCTGTTTTTCCATATTGGCTCTAGAGATTTTTGTCAGTTGTGAGCAAGTGAGCTGGAACTTTCTTACGCCTCACAGTTAATTTATCAAGAGTTCCCTGTATTAAGTACAGACTGAAAGAAGGAGGCGGAGCAGCGGAGAAAGAGCTCATTGGTTTTATTTGACACCATTTTGAAACAAAGACGACTAAAGAAAGCAAAAGCAGGGGAAGAGATAAATGGGTTGGCAAAGGAATGGTAAGTTATAGAGAGATTAGAAGGGATAAATCTAAATCGCAGAGATGAGGAGGAAGGGTGTTGACTTTAAAAGAGGGCACAATATTGTTTAGCCTCTATAGTCACAGACAGTTAGCTCCTACTGCCACCGTCGTCCTTTAGAGGAGTAACTCCCGCTGTTTGTGCCCGGAGAGCCCCAGGGCTTGACTGACACAGATCAGAGAGGAGGAGAGGGCAGAGGGGAGGGGAGGAGGGGTGAAGGGAAAGGGGGATAAAGGGATGTGGGGGAGGTGGGAGTGAGCAGGGGTTCAGAGGGGTGGAAGGAATCAGAGGAGTTGAGGGAGAGAGGGGTTCTGGTAGATGAATGGGGAATCACTTTACAGGCGATGAAGAGATCAGAGAAAGAGGTCAAGGGATGGTTAAGGGTGAGGGGGGGATCAGTTGAAAAACAAGGATGAAAGCGGCAGGGGAAAAAAGAAGAGGTGGGATGAGGGGTTGTAGCAGAAATGAGGATCAAGGCCAGCCTGACAGATAGCGAAAGAGCGGGAGGAGGGATTTATTTGTCCTGGCCATTGATCTACGAGCTGTAGGGTCATGTACAGGCTGAAAATGCAGAGCTGACATACATACTACATACACATGACCTACATCCAAGTGCTGGGCAAAGCTGCTGAAATCCAGTAAAAACATTATGTCTGAGCAAAGCTCCTTTCAGTTGCTCCTTTATTCACACGGGGTGACAGGAGAGCGGAGCAGGTAGCGCCACATATTTGACTTAGCTAATTGTTATGCCGAATACCTTTTGTGACACAACCCACAAAGGCTTTGTCTCTATGTGGGATGGAATGGACAGAGACTTTAAAAAAAAAAAGTCTATAAAAACAATGTCTTTTATGCTTTTTTAAAAGATATGCTTATTGGCAGGTCTTTTGTCATGGATTTTCCACAGAATCGCCTTTTAAATGTTTGATGATCCATGCATTTATCTTCTACCGCTTATCTGGGTCGCAGCGACAGCAGCGACTTCTCTCACACCGGCCACCTCTTCCAGCCAGTCCTGGGTCTTCCCTGGGGCCTTCTCCCAGTAGGACATGCCCCTAATACCTCGCCTACTGGGAGGTGTCCAGGAGGCATCAAGTCAGATGCCTGAACTAGCTCCTTTTAATGTGGAGGAGCAGCGGCTCTACTCAGAGTCCCTCTGAGCTCCTCACCGTATCTCAAGGGGGAGCCCAGGCACCTTTTGAAGGAAACTAATTTCCAATACTTGTATCTGCGACCTCATTCTTTCAGTCACTGCTCAGAGCGCATGACCGTAGGTGAGGGCAGGAACGTAGATGGACCAGTAAATCGACAGCTTCGCTTTTCTGCTTAGCTCTCGCTTTACCGCAACAGATCAGTACAGAATCCACATCACTGTGCTGGTTTCATGAATTTATTATGAGTGGAATATTTTTTGAGAACAGTAGATAATTTGTCATAAAAAAATATGAAAATTGCCTGTGATTTGGGTCCTGGGAACACATGTCTTAAAATTTAAGTCCAACACCTCAAAATATTTGAAACGCATATATAATTTATACAATTTATAATTTCAGGATGTTGAAAAAGTTGTTCATCTGTAGCTTTCGTTATTTAAAAAAAACAAACAGCTAATGAATATTCACCTCATTCTTTAACATGACTCCATATGTCCTTTTTCTTAACTGCAGTGTTGAGTGAGAATCAGGATCCACAGTTCACAGACAACTGTCACGTCCACATCTACAGTCAATTTAGTCACCAGTTAGCCTAACAAATAACTCGCACAAAGACCCATCCAGTGATAGACACTGCAGATTTGTTCAGGCTATAAATGCAGTGGTGTGAGGCGTTAATTCATGCGTCACACTTATTCCTGTACCAGTAAATCTACAGTAGCACAAATTGTACATAATACTGGGTGTGTAGTAGGGAAACATTCACAAATATGTGCGCGTTGGTATGAT